GCAGGTGTTATAGTGTAACTAAAGGGAAAAATCTGAAAGTTGCAATTTACTCAAAATGAATGCAACTTTAGGGAGTGTAATTCTAAATGCATGATGTTGACGCGCATGAATATTGTTTGATTAGATTAGCACTGGTTTTTATTAATTAATCACAAATTCCCGCGCCGTCAAAATAAACTTTCTTTTTTAGTGTTACAATATGGCAAATAGCAATTGTTTGCTAAATTTCATTTATCGGTCATCAAATACAGAATATTTTAATATGAAATTGTAATGGTAACCTAACCTAACCTTTCTTAATGAGGCATAATACAGACTTAGCCACAATATAGATATTTATTGGCTGAATTTTTTGGGAGGGGATCTGACCTTTTTCCTTTTCTTCTGGATTATCTCGATCCTATTATCCACGTAACTCCTAAGGGAGTACATTTAATAATGATGTTTTATGTTTCATTCATAAACTGGCCAAGTGTTAAGCAATACAAATAAAAGAGCAGTTTTGCTCATAAAAGTAGGAGGGAATTCAGGTTCATAAAGGAATAGCAGACTTGCCTATAATGTTACTACTTTGATTGGCTGACTTTTTTGGGAGGGTGTCTAAGACTTGGCCCTTTTTCACTGTTAGGTTTTTGTTGAATAAAAATGTACTGCAACAAAGACTTTACACTGATTTTTTTTCATTACCAGTGGTTTGCATTGAAGAGGGTTTTGGTTTTTTTTATACAGCGTGATTCTTTTATCATGAACCACTCTATATCTCACAGGGTTTAATAAGAAATTAACATTTTTATTTTTCATATTGTTTTTATAGAGGGTGTTTCTGTTATCATGAACCAGTCAATATCTCACTGGGTTTAATTAATAATTTAATTTTTTTTTTATAATGTTTTTATAAAACGTGATCTCAATTTCCACAATTTTTTTTGTTTTTAACCCCTCTCCTAACTTAGTTTTTTTGATAGCAATTTTTAAGACTTCAATGGTAACTTACATATCTTATTAACTTTTTAAATTGAGAATAATGAACTAAAAATGTTGACTGGTCGAAAACCAGTTTCGGACAACTATTTTTAAAGTTATAAGAGTTTAAAAGTAATGATGGGAAGGGAAGTGCAGTTGGGAAATGCGCGCAGATAATAATAAAAATAAAAAATACACTCCACCTTTCCTCCTGCCCTAAACCAAAAACTTCAATAGCTTCAAAGATAGATCCGAAACTGGATATCAACCAGTCAAAATGTTTAGTAAATTATTCTCAACTTAAAACGTTAGTAAAATATATATGTTACCATTTAAGTTTCAAAAGTTGCTAACAAAAAAACTAAGTCGGGAGGGGGTAAAAAAAAAAAAAAGTGAAAAATCGAGATCACATTGTATAAAAACAATATGAAAAAAAAATGTAATCTCTTATTAAACCCTATGAGATATTCAGTGGTTCATAATAAAAGAATCACCCTGTTTTTTCAGCAATTAAATTGCTTTAGTATGGATTACACCATTTGGTTTTGTCTAATCTGTGGCAATAGAAATTCCAGAAAAACCATTAACTTGTGACCACTTTGATTGAATGTAATAAAGTAAGCATCAGACGTAGACATTCACTTACGGTCGCTTCTCAAAAAACACTTGTTGTCTTTTGGTTTTTATAACATCTAAAAAATATATTTACTATGCTAGCCAGAAAACGTTATTGAGACAAAGGCATACACGGTAACGATTAAGTTCATCGCGTTTATATTTTGTAAAACCTTTTAGGTTCCATCAAATAGTTTTATTATCAATTGTAAGTTGTAGTATTCTTGCTAATAATATATTTACTTATGAAAACATTAATGAATTATATTATGAGCTACAATATTGTCTAAATAACAGCTTATTAACATGATAACTCGGGATTTTTTTGTATTATAGTTACAAACATTTTAATCAATTCGAAAACGATAAAAACAAATGTTATAGTGACAATTTATTTCGTTTTGCAAATTATATTTTCGATAGTTGTATTTCTACTGATTTGCATAGAAACGTTTATTTGAAAATTATTTTACCGCTAAAGTCCCGTCTTGTACGTGGAACGTTTTATTTTTTCAAATTAAAATTCAATTTTCGTTTTACTGTTTATTAAAAGCAGTAGTTGTGCGTGAATCTTATGTAAATAGTGTATCTGGTTCGATGAAATTGTCAACTTTTGGTGTTAGCAAAAAATAATACTAAGAAGTGAACACAGAAAAAAAAGAAATGAGAAACACATTTTCCGATCAAAATTTTATACTTGATTTATGAATATTTTTCGATGCAGTTTAAAAAAAATGTACTCAAACATTATGTGCACAAGTGCCGACTTTAGCATTTTTATTATAAAAGTTTTACCAACAAAATTGCACATGGAAATAATCCAAATTTCGACAACCCCATCCTCCTCTCCGGGAAGAGAGGTTTAAAGTTCTATATCATTTTTTTTCTGGTGCAATTTTAGGATTTAAGAGCTGATAATTAGTCTGAAGATAGGTGTAACATACATCGTAAAACATTTGTAAAAAAAACCGATCGATACCAAAACTTGTTCAGTGTAGTGTATCTTATATAGGACGTCTACTTTTTGTTTTTACTCTTTATAGATATGACTATTGACTTCGAGTTTGCGCAAAACTTGTAGACAACTAAAATGGTATAATTCAATTTGGAGTTTTTATTGTGGATACGAATTTTGATCATATAAGTAATAAGATAAATGTTGGATAATTAATAGGACACATGTATGACAGTTATTACAATCACAATAACACTAAGATTTGCAGTAATTTCAATGATATATTAGCTACAAAATCTATTATTATATATACTTATATATATATATTTTTATAAACAACTTTATTAAAATATAAAATAAAGCGGACTCCTCACCACGTGAGATGCCAATTAGACATTGTTCCATATAATAAAATATTTTAGTAAAATGTTTAGTACAATAATTTAATTTCTAAATGTGGTCGCATCATGTTGAGTAGGTTTTCAGTAATTAGTGAATGATCAAGTGTACAATCTGGTTTTATTTAATCTGTGCCAATACTAAAAGTACAATTTTAAGCCCATTATTTCCTCTACAGATTCGCATCGAAGCGGTTTTTTTTCAACTTGATTTCATCACTCAGCTGCAACAATTAAGACAAAAATCACTGTCCAAAAAACGTAGATGGGAATACTTCTTCTTCTACCTTCACCCCTTCAATGTGCTCTGACCTACCCAGCTAATCTATCTGAAGTTTATTATGAATTAGTATGATAGTCGAAAGTGAAAAATAACAAAACACCATCACTCCAAATAAACTGAGAAACGACGTTTTTTCTTTCTTTTAGACAATATTATGAAAACCACCTTGATGGAAACGCATATCATAATTTTACAAATATATTCCTATCTAAACAAAATTCTAAGACCGAAAAATTGTCGGTTTAGATTTTAGCGTCTCAAAAATTCTAGTAAATAGTACATTATATGTGGAAAGATAAAAATTAGCAAAAAAATGTATTTATAAAGAGTTTCATTACGAAATAATAATAATAATACAAAACATATTTGATTAGTTATCACATATTATTTATTATTGAATTTACTGTGTATTATTATTTTTTTTTTTAAATAATATACTTAAACTACGCAAAAAATAATTCTGTATGTTGTATTCATATTTGAACACCCCTACTTAGATTTCATTTATTATTATGTTAGTAAAAAGTTTTGGCAATAAACCAGAACGCATAATTAAATGTACATGTCGCACCACACAACGGGCGTGTTTGCTTATAAACATAGAAAAAATTGTTAACAGTATTAGATTTTCTTTTCAATTATTTTTCCTTTGTATGTTAACATTGGTGTGGAATAAAATAATATTACTTAATAGAAAAATTCATAGACACTATACAAACAAAACAACTACGCTTTTTATGGTCTATAGTGACAATTATTAATTGTATTGCAATAGGTATTAAATTAAATTAAATTTCACATAGATTCGCTATAAAAACATCTAGTTGAAAGTTATTCAAATGGAAAATTTCTGAAAAACATTATTCGAGTATCGAGTGAAATTAACAAGTAAAAAAAAAACGATGATGCATCTTAAATACTATATTTTTATCCTCCTAAGCTTTTTTATCTATGTCCAAGTGACAAACGCTTATTCTACCAGCTTTTCGAAAACGGTAAATATAAGTTTATTTATTACAATAAAATGTTAACCGCTATTCAATATGTATTTATAAGTTTATCGGGTTAAATATTTGATTTAAGTACATCGACAATAACTACAATGGCATGCCGTACTTAATATTAAGATAAAGTTTATTAAGTACCTACTGGATACCTAAACTTTAATATAGGATAGCAGGAATACTTTTAAAATAAATGTAGAGCAACAAAATTTAATTCATTTTATGTAAATTATTATGTAAGCATAAAGTATAATATGCATAATACAACTAAAAGTAATGTTATTAATTTATTATAAAGTTGACACAATGTAGAAAAAAAAAGCTAGTATTGTATTGTAAATTACAATTTGTAAAGTATTGAGGACTGTAGACAGGAGAAAAATATAAATAGGGTTAATGCTGGCTTTTAAATTGGAAATGAACCGGGAAAGAGTATTAGAGGTAGGGGAAGAGGGAAAGGATATCATAGCGTTTGAATTGGACGAAAATGTGATGATACTAGGGTTGTTCTTATGCCAAGAGTGGAGGTACACAAATAATTATGGAAGCAATAGGAATACTTGAAAATTTTTTTCTTTATTAACTTGATTACCTTCAAACGTACTACATCTTTGATTTGTTACTAACGTTTTGAACTCACTACAATCTACATTGAACCTATGTTTTTCTATCTTTTGGATACATTTTTTTTTAGCTGCTATTTTTTCTTGGCTTAATGTTGCGCTTGCAAAAATATAATAGTATTTTACATTAATAGTTTAATAAGACTTTAAGTTATGTAGTTAGATGGATGGACAGCCCTATTGAAAGGAATGAGCACTTTTTTTACTAATGACGGAGACAATGTGTTACCAATATTTGACGATTACTTATCCAAGTAAATATTTGTACTTTTTAACTACCTACAATATGTTTTAATTTAAATTTTGATTTTTTAGGTACATTGGAAACTCAAACAAGCTTGCGATATTAATGGACTATGACGGAACATTAACTTCAATCGCTGGACGTCCCGAATTGGCTACGTTACCCGTCCAGACTAAAAGAGTTTTGGAAAGATTGTCGAAAATGTCAAACGTGTACATAGCAATCATTTCGGGAAGAAACGTAAACAATGTCAAAGACATGGTTCGTTATTGAAATTGTGTACTTTGCGTTAGGTATTTATACGTAGTACAGATAATTAAAATAATTTTAGGTCGGTATTGAGGGAATCACTTATGCTGGTAACCATGGTCTTGAAATTCACTTTCCCGATGGTAGCGAATTTAATTATCCAGTTCCCAAAGAATATGAAGAAAAAGTCTCCAAACTGTCGAAATCTCTCCAAGATCAGGTATGTATCTCAGGCATGCCGTACATTTCAACAAACGCTACTATTCATAGTTTACAACGAGGAAAGCATTAAATTCTCTATGTTCTTCATGTCTGTCGCCATTTTACGGTATTCCTGGCTAGGTTACCTAGCTTGTAAAAAACATTCCTGTTACAGCGGTTTTCTTGGACGTCACCCTGGCCTTTGACTGGTTTTGGCACGATTGCCTTCTGTTAAAACTGAAAAAGTTCATCCCTACTCCATATTTGTTACTAATAAAGTCTTACCTTACTTATAAATTCTTTACTCTGTTCGACTAACTCCAGCTACTCTATTTGCCATCCTATTAAAGCAGCTGCCCCACGAGGGAGTGATATCACTCCTTTCCTCTATTCAATATTAACTCATGGTAACCCAAAACATGTACACACTGGCCTGAAAATACCTACACTCAACCAATTAGCTTAAGTTCACAACTTTAATTTTTATTTTAATCTAAGCTTTCGTTCTAATCTCCTAAAAAGGAACTATCCTCGCCCTCACTTCCCAAAAATGCGCTCAGAACACTTAAAAAGAAAATTTGTTTTTTTTTAAATTTTGTAGGTTTGTAAAGATGGTGCTTGGGTGGAAAACAAAGGCCCTACGTTGACGTTCCATTATCGTGAAGTACCCTTAGACCTTCATACTGAACTGGTGTCCAAAGCTCAGTTTTTCATTGAAAGAGCTGGGTTCAAAGCGAATCAAGCTCTTTGTGCTGTTGAAGCGAAACCTCCTGTAAAATGGAACAAAGGGCATGCATCTTTGTACATTTTAAGTAAAACCTTCGGTCTGGATTGGAGTGATCACGTCCGCACAATTTACGCCGGAGACGACAAGACGGACGAGGACGCCATGCTGGTGATTTACCTACAATACATTTAAAAATAACTAATTTATCAATGTGTATATTTTGATTATAAATTTCATCACTAGGCGTTGAAAGGCAGGGCCGCTACATTCCGCGTAACTCAGTCTAATACGGTTAAAACCTATGCTGAACGCCGTTTGCCGACCACCGATGCCGTGTTGTCCATGCTGAAATGGGTGGAAAGACATTTCGGCAAACGATTGTCGCGAGAAGACAGTGTTGAAAACTTTAGTAATAATTTACAGCCACAATCAGGTGAAATACAAATAGAACACGACATACCTGAAAAGAAATTGTCACTAAATAACACTATTTATCCATGAGAAAACCTCATTATAAAATTCAACATATTTGTTTATGGGATGATGTAGATAATAATATTGTTATCAATGTTGTACACTTAATGAATATAGCATTCGCTCGCATACGGTTGTTTTTTTTTTTTTTATAACGCATAAGCCTACAACTTTAACAAATAGAAAAAAATGTTTTTTTTTTGCTAAACAAAACCAAGATTATAAGTATTACTCTAACAGTAACCACTATCCCACATTTTTTAAAGACAGTACTGTGGGGTTGGGGCATAGTGAAGCCGAACCATATAGAGACGGGGGAGGTCACAGGTCTATAGAATTTATTACAACTTAAAGTCATAAAATCACCTTTATCTCGAAAAAAAAAATAACTACAAAATTTACATTATTCAATAGAAAATAAGTGCCTTACCCTTAATTAATCGTCCTCTATTCTTTGTAATAATCTATAAATAATATATAATTATTTGTTTAATCATTTTTGTATCTTGATTAGTATTAAAATAATTGTATTTTATTTATTTATAAAATTTGTTAATTTAAATAAATATATGTATATAACAAATTATTAAATGTATTTAAATTATTTTTAATATATTAACTTGTTTGATTTTATTAACTTATTAATTTTAATTTATGAGTTAGGCCACTTATGCACTCAACTATATGTTAAAATGCCATGTCAGGCAAAAGCATAGTTATATGTGTAATTTTGTCATAATTTCCTCGTCGCCAATTTATTATACTTTAGTATGAAATTTAAACACAATTAGATTAATATAAATAATAATATTCGCTGACGTGTATTGTAAAACCCAAATTACACGAACGACAAGTGCCGGTGTAGCACTCGAGTATGGAGGACAATCCCCACCATATATATTTATATAAACTGCTGATACGTAACAACTTCTTTTTAATATGCTGTAGTCAAGTAGACCATCGTGTTTGCCACTTTGGTCGTATTCATCAAACAAGGATGATTTCTAAAATTGGTTTCTATGTAAAAAAGGGGTATGGAAATAGGAAACTCAGATTTATTTGAATTTGTTTAATATTTATTTTCGTTATTTCCATCCAGTCATCAGATTCCTTATCGTTATTGGCCAGAAGTATCATAAGATCTTGTACTTTTCGAGCGTCATTCACACACATAGTTAGACTAGGTTGACTCGGTAGACTCGTTGTGCAGGTCGACCAAATTGTGTAGAATACTTCTATTGTGTAGGCTTACTTGTAAATTGTTCTTGAATTATATAATGCTTGAATTTGATGTATTTAATATAACTTATGTATGGACTGTATGATGCCCGATTTTTATATATGTTGGTTGAAACTAAGTGGTTTGAAGTTAGAAAATTGCCTAGAATAATGTACCATTTTCTTGCCCTTTTTGACTTATTATGATTTTTTTAACTTATTAAGTTATACACCGGCTGCACGGGTCTGATGTTACGAACATGTTGTCCGATAGGCGGTCACACCTAACACCAGACCGTGCGGCAACAGTTATGTGTTTAAATTTAGTCATATTTAGTTGTAACAGTCCTGGTCGAATATCCCGGTTCTTTCCTTAAACGCCTTTTTTTCAATTGAAATATTTAATTCTCTGTTAACGCTGTTATAAAAGAAAGGAATATATATATTTTTTTTTTATTCCAAAAATTTTAGATTTTATAATACGGTTGTGAGGCCTTTTAAGTAGTATTTTCGCTCTATGATACTAATAGGCGGTTTTAAAATTTATTTTTCCTTCCTCTCTTATTAAACTATCTTTGGCGTTAGAGGTATTTTCTATTGAGTTTTTGTCTTTTACTAAGTTGCATTGTACATCCCACGTGTACAGTGTACTCGCAATAATATGTTTTACATTTATGAATTTTCCTCTAAACGGCACATTTTTGCAGTAGAGTGGTTTTTCTAGTATGTTTGTTCAGTTGTCTGGATGAACTGATTAAATTTTAGTATACAACTTAGATGACTGAAATTTGCATATTTATGTGGCTGGCTTAACAATACTTGCCCTACGATTGTTTGTTTTTTAAGATATTATACCTACAATACTCAACTAGCACTTTACACCTCTATGGTTTTTTTTACTATAGTAGTAGACATTTAACAAAATATATCGATAAAAACACTTTCATGACAAAAATGTGCTAAAAATTGCATTTTCAGTAAAAACAATGCCACATTTTCGGGGATGCAAAAGGGACACTTCAATGTCTTGAACAGAAATATTTTGATAAATTGTACACGACTACATGGAAATACATATTTTAGTTTAAAAGAATTATCAAGCGTGTACGCCTGTTTTTTTTTTTTTGTTACACCGAGATGCAAAAGTTAAATTACGGTAGAATACCACATGTGTTTTGCGTGTACTTGATTAAGCTAAGGTTGAACGACAAAAGGTGTAACACCAACAGTAATAATAAAAATATATAGTAGGTAGAAAACCGAAGTACCTAAGTAAGAAAATGTTTCATAGAAAAACGCTTCGAATAAAAAATATTTTCATGGCGTTCATGATGCGCTATATTCCAATATTTTATCTTATTTCTATTAAAAATCCTATTCACGTTACTACTCGTACTATAAGTAGAAAAACTTAATACGTTTTTACCTTACAATAAGTCGATATATAAAAAATGGCTACTATAGCAATTTTTGTCAAAATATTGTCTATCTTTTGTCCCTTAATAAATAGTGCCTTCCGTTCCCCTTCAGGTGTGACAATTATACAGTTAGATATACAGTTTATGGACCGACGGAATAAATATATTTAGACAAATGTCGCGTCGGTTATAGCTTGGCCGTGCTAAATTAAATATTTCATAAAGACTGTCGATTGTTACTTATTATTACTTAGATTTATTGTGAATTCAACCAATTTACAAATAAAAACTCAAAATGAAAAAGATTGATCAAATCATTTTTGCAAGACATGTTTAAAAAAAAAAAAAAAAAGATAAAAAACAATCAAATATTTAGGAAAACAATTTGGCTCATAGAATTTGCATATTACTTTCATAAGTTTTTCTTGAGATAAATGTATATATAATAAATAATAAACATGTATTTAGGATTTTGAAAATATGTCGTGGTATAGTTTTTAAATTTCTAAGACTTTGGTAATAAAATCAAAATATAAATGTTTTTACAATGGTGGTTTACCTGTTATTTTAAGTCTAATTTTAATATCATAAACTACGGTTAAAAAAAAACAAATAAAGACAATTTTTCTGCCAATTTTAGGAAAACATATTTATTTAATTCCACTATTTTTCAAAACAAACATGTTTAATTTAAAAGTTAGTTCAATAAAATACCTATATATGTCAGCACTTAATTATTATCAAAAGTTATATTTGAGCTTTGATGCGTAGCTGAGAAGGTATTGCATATACAATGATGTGTTTTAATTAATTTTTTTTTTTGTGTGTCTTTATCCACTATATCTTTTAAGCCACTGAACCGATTTCTTCGTGTAGAAACTTTATAGATAAAAAGTCTTACTTGTAAGGTACATTATCAAAATCGAGAAAAACAACAAACAAAATCTATTTATATTTCAGTTTAAAATTACGGCGCTCCATAACTTTTTTAAAAATAGTCCAATAAGTTCCAAATTTTTATAGACTGTTCTTGCGACATAGTACTACCGACAAACGTTGATAACCCGAACAAATATCATAAGCCCTTTCCATTGGAAGAGATAGAAATTTGTTATTTCTTTATCAAGCAACATTAAAAAAAAAGGGGAATGTTATACTTTGACCGTAGTCAATAGGTACCTAATAAAAATAATTTAATTTTACTGTTAATACGATATATGGGACGATCAACCCTAATCGTATCCGCCTTATTACTAAAAATTATTTTTAAGCACATATTTGTGTCATTAGGTACAACTATTTTACCGATATTTTTATTTTTATCTGTAAACACTGGACTGAATAGTTGATAATAATATGAATATCTGCTTCCATCACGGAGCCACATGATTGATAATATTAAATTATTATAGACTTTCTATTATGATTGTTTCCCAAATAAATAAATAAACATAAAAATCAGAAGAGTGGGCCGTATCGGGCGATCGGGGAAGTCACAGGTTTTCGTGAATTGTTTTGTAAATAAGTACGGTAAAAACCATACTTCATAAAAGCACTTGCCACTGGCAGCAAAATAAGAAATTGTTTTCTCCGCATATGTTAACTTTTGTCAACACGGGTAAAAACATGAAAAAAACACATTAACGTTAAAACAAAACGTACTCGTCGATGGAGAAAAAACCAAAATACACTTCTGCAAACATCAGTGCTAAACATTTTTTTTACAATAATACAAAAAAAATACACGGTTTTGTATTTGTCTAGCAAAAAAGCCTATACGTCTTACAGTGTCGAATGTGTGATGCAGTGAAATCCAAGAACACAACAGGGTTTGGCAAATATTAACACTAGTCAACGCAACACCGTGGAAAATACTTAAGACTTACTGTTGTTCCAAAAAATCTTAGTCCCAGTACAGCTATATTGTTACAAGTATTCAATTGAATTTTGATTATCGTTTTTCAATTATGCATTTCAAGTGCACCCTTATTGTCTGCGTGGTGTTCTTCCTATCGTCGGCCTGGGTAAGAGTATGGATACTATATATTTATTATTTATAATAAACTAAGATTATGAATGATACAGTATAAATGTGTAAATAAAACTGCCAATTCAAATTTGGCAACGAACGACTATTACTTAAGGGCTGGAAATTATCTTAAAAGTCATTTAGTCATGATTCAAATACTGCGTTTATAAACGAAAACAGTTTTTTTGTGTTTTCATCCTTTGAAAAAAAAACATGTCTATCTAGTCACCAGCATATCTGCGTGACTTTGGACAGACATGTTTTTCCAACGAAATAAAATATTTTAGGTTAGGGGTATTGTTTCGATTTCAACTGTAAAATATGAATAACAGTACACAAGCTAATATTAATCATAAGAAAAC